CGTTAAAAAGAATAGGGAGAAGCCCATCAGGCCCCGCTGCATTTCCTTTCTTTAATGATTGGACACAGTTTCGTACTTCTAAATCTGTTTGAGGCTCACATGTTACCACCCATGGGGGTTTCACCGCAATTACTGGAATGACCGCATTAGCACTGGGCCAATTGAACTGTTCATTAAAGTACTCTTCCCAGCGATCAAGTCGTTCTTCTTTATTGTGGATAATTTCTCCACGTTTATCGCGAATGGTCTCACTAGCCGGTATGCAACGGCTTCCGTTGCTGCGTATCAGGTGAAACAGTCTGACTATTCCCTGATACAGAAGCTACCTCCATCTCACTAGCTTTTTGGGCCCACCAATTTTCGCGATCCTCCTTAAGGCTTTTCCTGAGTTGACGTTGCAGGTGCCACCGATCCCTATGTTGATCCTGGCAGATTGGGATCTTTCGCTAATGTTCCATCAGGATTACTGACTCCTGAGAGATCCAGTGACTTCGGCCAACTTCGGGCTCGGTCCCACAAGCGAAGTTTGCTACTGAGTGAGGCGCAAATCTAATCTGATTCCACTTTTGGTCTACTCCACGCAGGTAGTCCAATAGGACCTGCAATTTTGTACTGAACCACGCCAACGGTAGCTTCTAGCTGTGGTCAGTTTGGGTCAACGTTCCCGTTAAAGTAGGACATCATGTAGCCATTCGACGAGAGCTGTGTCGAAAGTTCATGCTAGATAAGGACAACCGATGATCCGCACAGAAATGAAGTAGTCGATCACCGTTGTCCATTCACTGGGCAGGGAGAGCGAAGTGTCCTATAAAAGCTTCGGGTGCTCTCAGTTTTCCAGCCTGTGCGTTAATATCACCTGCCAGCACTATAATATTAGACTTGCGGCTCAACCGAATCAGTTCAGCGAGTTTGTTGTAAAATTCGTCCTTTTGTGAAGCGGGACTGCAGTTGGTTGGTGCATACGCGGAAATTATGAACAAACACCTTTTGGTGTTGCTACCGTCCGGAACACTAACTGATCCCTGTAGCCTCATTGCGCACAGACGACTATTGACGGGTATCCAATCTATCATAGAGGCTTCAGCTTTATCGTTTACTACGATCCCTACCCCACGCTGACCCAGTGAACGGATTACGTGTCTGAAACATGATTGTCGTTTGCAAACCTCGAGATCCTTCATCCAGAAATGGTTTGACCCACTTGAATATCATCCGTTGGTTTCACTCTTGCGAGAAATGTACCAGGACGCTTGAACATTTATTCCCTTATGTATATTGGAATTTAGGTTGTCGCTCATAACATCCGTTTTCCTTCCAAAAAGGTTTGTTGATTAAACTTTTATAACTGACTTAATTTCATGTGATAAGCTCACTAAGGTAAAAATTTAGGCGATGTTATGCTTTCAATGTATCAATTGCTGTTCGAAATTCTGAGAGTATCAAATTTTTGATTTGCAAAAGTTACGAAACATAGGGACAAACATTTTTCTGTAGCTAAGCCTCAAGCGAAATGCCTTCAGGAAGTTAGTTTATAATTCACCTATTTAAAGCATCTGTGGTGTTTCTGGGTTTTCCGTGCGTCCATCACAGGTTGACTGTACACCGCAGTCGTTCGACCATGCTTGCTATGCGACGTCATCATTCTCAGTTCAGTTCAGTTCTTACAACCATTAACCATACACTTTCGTGCGCCGGTTTTGGTTACCCATTTGGATAAAACAGCAGAATGATCATTAGAATGTTGACAGCAGATTTAAGCGGAAGGTAGCACATTTTCATAGACTGAAGTTACAAGAATAATGAGTAGATGCATGAGCGCCACTGTTTGCGACACCGAGCCATATCGCTCAATGTCTCTAACCACCAGTGACCATGATCTCTGGATCCCCAGCCAGGGAGCCTAACGGGACCTATGTGAGCCAGTCTTCTGATCAGGGTTTTCATACCCTCATGCCAGGTCTTAGCTTGACCGCCCTTCATTTTTTTCCAACCGCTACCTGCCTCGCCAAGCATCACTTGCCTTAGCCACCAATCTGGTGACACGCACAATATGTCCCAATCGGCGTAGTTTATAGAGGTCGAGTATCTGTTCCAGTGGACGACCGCAATTACCTAAAACACCCAACCTCAGCATTGCTCGTCCGGCTACCCCACCAGACTCGTGCAATTCTACGTAGACAGCGGTGTTCGAACACCGACAGTCTATTTTTATCCTGTTCCCGTAATGGCCATATCTCTGCACCGTAAAGCAGAACTGGCGAACTGCTACAGCATATACTCGACCCTTCACAGATAACCGGATGTCGCGACGGCGCCACAGGTGTCTCAAGTTGGCAAATGCCAATCGAGCTTTCTGTGTGCGCGCTGACACTTCATCCGTGATGCGTCCGCCGGGTGAGATATAGCTGCCTAGATAGCAAAATTTGTCTACTTCCTCTACTACTTCCTCGGTCAGGGTGAGGCTGGAGCCTGGGCCAACCCAATCTTTGAGCAGCATTTTACACTTTGAAAGTGCAAAGCGCATGCCGAACATAGCTACACTAGCACTCAAACTATCCAATAAAGCTTGCAACTTACCTGAATCTTCACCTAGTATCACAATGTCGTCTGCATAATCTAGATCAGACAGCCTGCCACCTGGGAGTAGATCGATACCGCTATCTCCGCACGAGGATAGAGCTGTTTCAAGAATTAAATCTATAACAAAGTTAAACAGAAATGGAGAGAGAGGGCAACCCTGTCGAACACCACTTTCCGTGGTGAACTCGAGTGAAAAAGTGCCGTAAGCTCGTACTCGGCTTCGGCTATTATTATAGGGGGATTTTAATATTATACGAATATTATTATAGTATATTATTATTATATATTATTATACGAACAAACTCGCACGGATTTAGTAGGAAAACCGAGCCAGTAGTTGTGAGTTTGGTCCTTGCCCTCTTGATAATAGCTGTTGATTAAGAGCACACAATATGGGCGTTTTTGGTGAATTCGTTTTCAAGTCAATCCAGTCACACGTATATGGAACAGAATTGAAACGGAAAGTGGATATGAGTCTTGTGTGTGGTAGTTAGTCCTAAATAAGGACTGAATTGGTACGGACATTGAATTACGTAATCAGAATTAATTATGTTACATCGTTGTCATGTTTGCAAGTGATTTTCTCTTCCCCTGTTCAGGGGAATTGGAGTTGATTACTGATGCGAATACTTGATCCCTATGAACGATAGTCTATGATTTGCCATGTTTGCGTCTTTCCCCGTGCTTGGTGATTTGAATAAGAATGAAGGCTTTTATCCTTGCAGGTACGAAACTACTAATCGGTGGATTAGGCCGTTCTAGTCGGGCTGGGTCTCATGATATGAGTCTACAGATGCCTTTAGTGATGTTTAGACAGACGTGGTATTCACTTAGCTAGTGTCGCTCGATTGTTTTGCCTACTTTCACCGTCTGTCTGGATTTCCCATCAACATTTTTGTTTCTGTTAGCTCTGTTGTTCACCAGTTCAAATGCAAGTAAGTTTTATGTTAAGAGCGATCTGAGGTGAAGCGTGAGTCCAACTAAAATAGCAATAGTGAGCTTGGCTTTGCTTGCTTTCTTATTAAAATCCCCACTTCATTTCCTTCCCTCCTGCCGTTTTTTGCCTGATCACCACATGGAAAGCTCAAAAATATGCATTCCGTACTTGAAACAGTCCAGTAACCCGCACATCCTGACACTGAGCCCACCATTAAACATGCTGCCCAAATGGTTCTCCAACCACTTGGCCTATAGCATGTCGAAATATGCAATGTCCATGACTGTTCTCGGGTTGGCCAAAGAGCTTCAGCCGTTGGGAATAGCGGTAAATGCCTTGTGGCCACGCACAGCTATCTACACAGCCGCTACCAAGATGATTGGAGGTGGGGAGAAGTTTGCCGAACTTTGTCGCCGTCCGGAAATTATGGCAGACGCTGCCTATGCAATTTTGACTCTCTCAGCGAAAGAAGTGAAACATACCGGAAACTTTTACGTGGATGACGAAGTACTTCGCGAGCATGGTGTGACGGACTTTGAGCAATATGCTGTTAAACCAGGTAGATTTATCCTTTTGTCCATTTCCCCATTTTTATTGTATTGTATTTCACACACGTCTGTGCAAAACAAATCACGGTATGATAATCTTCATAAAAAGAAAAAAGCTTCCATGATTTGCTTGTGGGTGGAATACTGCCAGGTTGCCCAGACCAAGGCAGGTGGATTTTCCTTGGGAGTTCACAACCGGAGCCTGATCGAGCCGGTGTCCATTGCCACAATCAGAAAGATGTGGCTGTGATTCGTACACTTCATCTTGTTTAGTTTGGAATCAGGGTTTTTAGCCAACTCCCTCAGGCTAACTGACAGTTTTTCACCGACTAGAATATAGCTCTGGATTTTGGCTTTTCGTCCGCTCATAGAAGACCTCCGCCATAGGAAGGCAGTAAGTGGGGCTTCTTTAATAGAGGCGATTTGAGACGCTTGGTCGTATGGGAGCATTTCGTGAGGTGCAAGGGAAGGGTAACCAGCCACAACCCAAGATACGCACCCCGACCAAACTGAGGCTTTTGGAAGATTGAGTGGGTCGCAAAAAGATGCGTAAGGGTGGCCCTGTTCTCTTAGGACGATCAATTAAGCTACCAAATACCGAGTGCGCCTCCAGATTTAGGGCAGGCGTATAGCTACTTTTTATCACACACGAAGTGATTTTCAGCAAAAGGGGAAACCGCATGACCAATGACATACTGTAGGGAGTAAGGTATGTGGAAAAACATTCAAATGAGAATCAATCTGCTAATCTTGTTTTTGAAAACAGTATGACTATAAACCCTTGGAAACTTGGAGATGGGAAGAGTGTTCCATAATTTCACAGTCTTCGGGAAAAGAAGATTGAAAAATAGAAGTTCGACATCTGTGAACAGAAACTTGATAAGGGTAACTATCCGCCTGAGACAGATGGATGACAAAAGGTCAATGAAAACGAAACCATTGAAGCGAGTTCAGAAGAGCAAAAACCAAAATAGGAACGATAGAAAACAGATAACGATGCA